AGATCCGGCCACTGTACTCCAGCCTGGGCGACAGAGCGAGACTCCGTCTCAAAAAAAAAGAAAGATTGCTGTCTACCACCACCTGCATTCTTCCCTAGGTGAAGACAAGAACCCTCATGGGCTAAGCCCTAATTTGGGGGCTTACTGGCCATGGATCATCCAGCGGTCATGAAGGGACAAAGACAGCAAAGAGGCCAGGTGCAGTGGCTCACGCCTGTAATCCTAGCACTTTGGGAGGCCGAGGCAGGCAGATCACGAGGTCAGGAGATGGAGATCATCTTGGCTAACACGGTGAAACCGTCTCTACCAAAAATACAAAAAATTAGCCAGGCGTGGTGGCGGGCACCTGTAGTCCCAGCTACTCAGGAGGCTGAGGCAGAATGGTGTGAACCCAGGAGGTGGAGCTTGCAGTGAGCCAAGATAGCGCCACTGCACTTTAGCCTGGGCGACAGAGCGAGACTCTGTCTCAAAACAAAAACAAAAACAAAAACAAAAAACAAAAAGACAGCAAGGGGGTGAGCAAGAGGCAGGGAGACAGGAGATGGAGGCGACCGGCGGAGGCAAGATGAGGAGACGATGAAATGTGCACAGTGGGCGATCAAAGCTACCACAAGAACCAGAGGATTTTCTCAGAACCATCCTCTTTCCTGGCCCACGGTGGAGCCGAGCAGTGGGCAAGCGGCCATAGCACCGCCACCTCCTGTGAAATCCGTGCTCTGGTCAGGTGCCAAGTCTAAGGGCCTGTTCCCTCACGGCAGTCAAGCAGTGGATTTGGATACCCCATTGCTTGGCCACCCTGGACAGAACCACATCCTTCTCACCCCTTCTCTTGGCTGATTCTCCTCTAACCCCAATTTATTTTTGTCAGCAATTTTACTTTATTTCTGAGACGGCCTCACTCTTATCTCCCAGGCTGGAGTGCAATGGCACGTTCTCAACTCACTGCAGCCTCAACCTCTTAGGCCTAAGTGATCATCCCCTCAGCCTCCTGCAGGTGTGCACCACCACGCCCGGCTAAATTTTTATTTTTCCAGACGGAGTCTCGCCCTGTTGCCCAGGCTGGAGTGCAGTGGCACGATCTTGGCTCACTGCAAGCTCCACCTTCTGAGTTCAAGTGATTCTCCTGCCTCAGCCTCCCGAGTAGCTGGGATTACAGGCGCGCACCACCACGCCCGGCTAATTTTTGTATTTTTAGTAGAGACAGGGTTTCACTGCATTGGCCAGGATGGTCTTGATCTCCTGACCTTGTGATCTGCTCACCTTGGCCTCCTAGTGTTGGGATTAGAGGCGTGAGCCACTGCACCCAGTCCTTTACTTCTTTTTTGTATCTTTAGTAGAGATGGGGGTTTCACTATTTTGCCCAAACTGGTCTCAAACTCCTGAGCTCAAGCAATCCACCCACCTCAGCCTCCCACAGTGCTGGGATTACAGGTGTGAGCCACTGTGCCCAACCCATTGTATTTTCTGTCCTAAAATGTGTGCTTCCTTCATGGTTTTGGCTCTTACTCCCCAAGAACTGTATTAGAGCAACTGTTTAAGGCAGGACACTTGGCTGTGAGAGGTCCTGCTGTGTTGACCCCGGGATGCCAGAGTCACGTTCTGTGGCCCCAGCTTGGCCTTTGGCGTATACTGTTGGCTGCCTTCCACCTGCTCTGGGGTTTTTGGCATTTCATGTGTGGACCCTCACTGGTCAATACTTGGGAACCCCAGGGTTTTGGCATTTCATGTTACTGGTCACCCTCCGGATGGCCCTGGGTTTTGGCACTGACATTTCTTCTAGGATTGCAGGCTGGAGGCTCAATCTAGCAGAATCTTGGTCTTGCCTTTTCTTGCTTACTGCCCTAACACCTAAAATTATAGCTTTTGGTAACAGCCTTTTCTTTTTTTGAGCTGGAGTCTCGCTTTGTTGTCGCCAGGCTGGAGTGCAATGGCGCAATCTCGGCTCACTGCAATCTCTGCCTCCCGGATTCAAGCGATTCTCCTGCCTCAGCCTCCTGTGTAGCTGGGATTACAGGCACGCACCACCACGCCCGGCTAATTTTTGTATTTTTAGTAGAGACAGCGTTTCACTGTGTTGGCCAGGAAGGTCTCGATCTCCTGACCTCGTGATCCGCCTGCCTCAGCCTCCCACAGTGCTGGGATTACAGGCGTGAGCCACCATGCCTGGGCCAGCTTTACCCTTCTTATAGTCACTTTACGCTTTCCCTTCTACACTTTGCTTAGTAGAAGCTTGTCGTCAGGTGCTGTGGCTCACACCTGTGATCCCAACACTTTAGGAGGCCGAGGCAGGTAGACTGCTTGAGCTCAGGAGTTCAAGACCAACCTGAACAACACAGCAAGACCCCATCTCTACAAAAAAATAGAAAAACTAGCTGGGTGTGGTGGCCCGCTCCTGTAGTCCCAGCTACTCAGGAGGCTGACATGGGAGGATTGCTTGAGCCCAGGGTGAGGTTACAGTGAGCCGAGCCGTGATTATACCACTATACTCCAACCTGGGCAACAGAGCAAGACCTAGTCTCAAAAAAAAAAAAAGAAAACATGGCCGGGC